ACACAGTACACTAGATGAACACATTCTTTAGTTAAAATGACGATATTTCATCCACGAGATAGCAAAGGAAAAATTGTTAAAAATTATCTGACTGTCACAGTGGCTTTCACCAAATCTTTCAAAAACCGTCAAAAACTATTTTTTCTATTGAAAGTGACACAGATTCTGAAAGAGGAGAATTCAGAGCATCTAACAAAGCAATAAACTCAATTTTGATTTTTCAAAGGGAATCATAGATCTGGGGCTCCCTTCACATCTTTATATGGCAGAAAGAAAATAATTTTGCTGTTTTGGTATAAGTGAGAGTACTCTTCGATGTTTAATGATAATTACAGACACATCTTCAAATGAAAATTGTTATTTGATAAACTATAGAAAATGAAAAACGTTTATTTCTCTTTTTCCAATAGTGCGTTCATGACGTTTTTTTTGTATTTATTAAATTAACATTTCAAATTAGTAAAGCAAATCGACCTTGAAGAATACTATTTTTATGATCTTTGTCACTAATCAATTAACTTTCAGCATTTTTTTCTGCTTACGTGTTTTGGTTTAGTTTTCCTTTGCACCCCATCTAAAAAATTAAATGTACAAACACAGGTCACTTTTCTAACTGAATGATATTGTAGTCCATGTCAGAAAAGAATAAATTTACAACATGAAATGCGTAGCTAGTTCACTGTTAGTTTTTTAAAAAGTGCATGGATAGGCATTGTGTTCCGAATTGTTTTGTATCTGTTTTACTATCTCATGCCGATCCTCGAGTGTCTACATGAATAAAACTAGGACTCTCTTCTATTATCCTTGTGCATTTATTGATAACAAAGAAAAAAACAATTATTTTTTTCTCTCATTTTCGTCAAAACACTTAGTGTCTACGCTAACCAGATAAAAATAGAGTTCATTAAAGTCAATTAGAGATAGAGATTCAGATTGAGAGAAGGCTGATCTATTTGTGAGTATTGTAGAGGTTTCATTTTTTTTCTTCTATCCTTTCACAACATCCTTCATTTTTGTCTCTTGTTTATAGACTCTTAAGTACTAAGGTAAGGAACGTGTTTTCATAGAACATCAAAAAGTAAATGATAATGAACACATAGAAAAATGGAAAAAAAAAAGAAACTCTTGACTTTGTTTGAATCACTGTTGTTTGATTAAAACTAAGATGCGACATAAATGAGCGTTTGTTCCAGGCAAATTATAGTGCACCGAAATTTATATAAAAAAATTAACATCTCGATCACACCAGAAATTTAATGATTCTAGTATCCGTTCATAGTTCGGTATACGATATTAATAAAAAGGACAAAGAATATTAAATACTGACACTATTCTCCAGCTATCTTGGTATCAAATGGTAAAATTTTTGATGAGATATTGCATTTTTGAAGTTTGACCTCATCTTGTTTCCAGTAATCATTAATACAAATAGTTCATCAATTTTTAGATTATTATTCACTTTAAAATGAATTCTTGGGATAATATTGAATCAATATTCATTTGCAGTGCTATTATCATCGTTACATTCTTAACTATATTTGGAAATTTATTTGTGTTATTTGCATTTTACAATGATCCTCATCTACTCACTCCAAGCAATAATTTTATTCTTTCAATGGCTATCGCTGATTTTCTAGTGGGACTATGTTGTATGCCGTTTTATTCAGTTGTCGAAATCAAACATTTATGGCCGTTCGGTCAGTTATTTTGCAAAATATGGTTGACAATCGACGATATTGCAACACAAGCAAGTGTTCTTAGTATAGTGGCTATTACTATTGAGCGATATTGGAGTATTAATCATTCTGTACACTATAGAAAATATACAACAAACACAAGAATTCGATTTTGTTCACTTCTCATATGGTTAATACCATTAATTAATTTTGCACCGGGAATTTGGTTTTTAAAACCCAAAACATCCACAAAAAATAATATAAACTCAACTCTATTAGTACATCAAAATGAAACATGTATTGGTGCATATCATGATCATACCGTCTATCTAATTGTTGCTCAATTTAACTTTTTTGTTTGGCCTCTCATTTTAATTATTATTCTCAATTTACTTATAGTTATTAATCTCTATAAACGATCTCAGCGATTTCCAACATTAACAAGTGGAGCCATACAAGCTTTGCATTTACATTCACGACGTCGTACACTTCCTTCATCATGTAAACATACATATAAGCAACAATCATCAAAAAAACCAGTTATTAATCAGGTATCTGTAGAAATGAATCAACATCCCGACAGCGAATTAGAAATGGCACAACCAGTAGAGAATTCTCATCCTATACTCTACGAAAATTATATTAAATATCAAAATCTCCAAACTGTATTCGATTATTGTATCAATTCAACAAAACAATTAGAATTGCAAAAGGTAATTATATCATTTTCATTTTGGATTTTAAAAATTAGACTGATTCTTCGGGTAAAAGATACTTTCGTCATAGGGAGAGGTGTAATTTCGTCGCATGTAAGAAAAGTGCGTTTTTCAGAAAAAAGCATGTTGACGTAAGTTTCCGTGACTTTCGGAGTGCTTTTTGTGGCTGTGATGAAAATTCACCTAACGTGATGAAAGTTCCGTCGAGTGTGAGGAAAATGCCCTTGTTTTTAACGGTTTCTGCTTAACTTTCGTCACACATAAATACTGCTATAAATACAGAATAAAATCAAGTGTTGTTTATCGATTATTATGTGATCAGTACCCTCAGTAAGAGCTGCATCTAGTATTTACTACACTGTAATACTTCCTTAGCAAGTACTGACAGAGTAAATAGTGGAGTATATATACGTGAAAGAGATTGCGACAAGAAAAATGGAGTTCATCAAGATATATATATATTACTTATATATAAGTAAAGAGAGATCACTTCTACATAAATTGTAAGCACTTCCTGTACTTCTTAGGAAGCACTTATAGTGAACAAAGATTTATTGTTCAAAACTTATGAATCTACTCTGCAACTACTTGCTAAGGAAGTACTGCATTTAACGCTCTTTAAGTATAACCAAAGTTCACCACTACTGTGACGAAAATTCGCCTCATGCAACGAAATTTTTAGTGTGTATGACGAAAATTCACATTTTGATAACGACAGTTCCCGAGGAGTACCTCCCTCCAAGAAACTTTCGTCATGTATGACAAAAGTGCGTTCATCATAATGACGATAGTGTGATGTGACGAAAGTGCCATAATCCAGTCTTTGCTTTCAGAGCTAATCGCAGAAGAACTCAGATCAAATTCGAAGAAGTTAAAATCCTTGCAAGTCTTAGTTAAAGTAATAAAATTATTTCAAGAGAGACTAATAACTCAACGTGAACCGATGTTTGATACTTGTCAATATGACATTTTTTGCCATCAATAAAATCAAATAGATTTACGCTTCGCATTGGAGGAAGAGTGTGAAGGTAGTGAGAGTGGATGAAAGAGAACAATACAAGAAGCTGAAAATCTATGAGATGAAACTTAGTATAGCAAAATATTATATTTACAAGACAATATCTGATATACAAAGTCATTTTGAACAAGTTCAATTATAGTTGAAGCAAGAAAATGAGTTTAAAGAAGCTCAGAACTAAGGGTAGAATATAAGAGAAATAGTTGCATAAGCGATTTCTCGATCGAAATCATAGCTAAAACCAATATTTGTGAACATAAATAAAGTATGTTTCGAGTGTTTACCTTTCTGAGACTTTGTCAAAGCTGTGTCCTAAAAAACATCTGATGCTACATTGGAAAAAAGTCTGGGCATTCCGAACACATGTCAAAGCAATTCCATTAAAAAATAATTTTCTAGCACTAGAAAATAAAAACTACTACATGATTTTGTGTATGATAGACGACTACTAATATATAAACTTAATGGTTTATTTTTAGGATGATAGAAGCCAGCCTGAAATGGAACGTATTAATGTTCAAATGCCCCCGATTATCGAGATGGATGAGCAGAGTGATCATGACTCGTATTTGTCAACACAAAAGAAAAAGAATTATTTAGATCGACTAAAACAAGCCCAACGTCTAATAAAATGTGAACGAAAAAATTCGATTAGAAAATTTTCTAAACCCATTTCAAAATCGAAACCAAAATATTCTCCCTCAAAGTCAACTCAAACATTACGTCAATCATTCTTTACATGGCGAAATACTACAATGGTATTATCACCAAACAGCGGTGAACAGCACCGTACAGTTCGCCGTTTAAGACGAGATAAACGTGCCGCTACATCCTTATTGATTCTTGTCCTTGTATTTATGATATTTCTATTACCCTATGTTGTTGTTGTGATAGGTGGTCGAATATTCAAAATACCACTGAAAACAGAAAAAATGAACCAGATATATTCGGCTTCATTTTGGTTACTATGGCTCAACTCGACAGTTAATCCATTTCTTTACCCGTTTATTCAACCTCGTTTTAGAGATGCATATAAAAAACTATACAAAAGGTTAATTCATAGAAGATTTATATTTTATCAATAAATAAAATGTTTGGCTTGTAATAATCTGTAAGTCTACTACAAATGATACTACAATGATCCATCATTGTTTCATTCTTAAAAATGACAAAAATGCGTTTTGATCACCAAAAAAGTGACTTATCGTCATCAGATATATTCGTAGACAGCCAACAAGAAGAATAAAAAAAAGACAGAGTACCTTGGGATAATTATGGTCAGGTCCTCAAAATTTCGTCGTATTTCTGCTATAGTTCGCTCAGTTTTTATCCAGAAACTTTCGAGAAACTATAGGTAAAGTTCTTTTTAAAATAAGTTTAGCCCTAAAATTCCATCGGGAAGGTAAAACTTGAATTTCTCCGTCAAACTTCATCGTGGAAGGATGAACACTTTTTTCTGGATTTTTTCTCCAGATACTCCTCTATCTCTTGGCTAAAAGAAAAATGTTAAGACATAAATTTTTATCCCGATTATGCCGTATATAACTTAATGAGCTCAAGATACCGTCATGGAAGGATGATGTGAATTGAATAAAATTTAATTTAAAATCATTGAGGAACACGTTTGGTTGTTTGCCTGTATAAAATATACATGCGTATCAAAGTGATGAATCAGGTGTTACACAAGCTAAACAAACATATCTTAGGCATGATGAGCACAGTACTAGATAAGAGCGATAGTAGCATTTAGAACAATTTGAATTCTGTGATGTAAAATGTTACGTTTTCAGGTATTAGACACAAAACCTGGTACATCATTCCAAAGATCCGATGATAGAGAGGAGTACTGAGGATTAATAATTGAAGATTATTGAAAATTTGATGCTATGTTGATGAAATAGTAGTAGATGTTGTGCTAGTTGAATCAGTGGTGATCATGCTTCTTTTCGTCAATGGATCATCATCTACTATATCTATATCTAAATAGGATAAATAATTGTTTGACGTGCTCAGATATCAGCTATCATAATATGCCATCTTCAGTTGTGCACAATTTCTTTGCTTTTGAATTCTGTTTTTATTCCATTGAAGTCCTTTTTTCTGAACTGGTTTCACTTTATTGGTTGCTCGCTCTTCTTTCTGCTTCATTTGACATAATGCTTCTTCACCTGTTAAAAATTGTCGTGCTTGATGATCAAGAATCATCTTACTATTAACTCACTATTAACTTTCTTAATCGCCGTTGATTGAAATAATTTTAATAATAATGATGAGACAATACCTTTTAATACCTCTTATATCGGGATGTTGAATAATATTCAGCTAAAACCTCACGATATTTTCGTTTTATTGGTTTAAAAAATGTAACGTTAAGAAGTTGAAAAATGTGAGTTGAATGTGGTGAAATGTATAACAAAACAATACCAGTGCTAATTGCTAATTCAGTTGTATGTATACTGAGGGTGTGTGTGATTCTGCACCAGTTGTCGCTTCATGAAATAGAAAACAATCTCTTCTAAAACTTCTCTATTTGTCATTAGTGTAAAATTGGCCTCTGTAAGCCGGTAACATTTAAACTCTGATTTTTTCGTGCAAATTACACAGACTGACGATAGTTACCAGAAGTTATTGGAGTATTAGTTCAAGATTATCCAAATGCTCTACATGAAAAACGCGCAACTCTGCTACCGGAATCTCTGTGCGTTACCGTTTTTTCTCTTTTCGTCTATCCTATAATTTTTTTAGAATATCGTAGAATCCTGGAAAGCGTCTTGTTTTGTAGAATGAAGTACGTTCTTCAAAATCCACCACTAGCTCAATTCGAAATAATTGACGATTTTTCGGTTACAATCGAAATACTAAAAGCCCTAAAAACAAACGACAATGTTTTTGGGGCTCTTCGTATTTTAAGTACAGCATAAAAAGCGTCAATTATTTTGAACTGAGCTGGTGGTGGATTTTGAAGAACGCACTTCAGTCTACAAACAAGACGCTTTCCAGGATTCTACGATATTCTTTCCGAAAATTATAGGATAGACGAAAAGAGAAAAAACGGTAACGCACAGAGATTCTGGTAGCAGAGTTACGCATTTTTCATGTCTAATAACCGAAACAAAGCTGATTGATTTAGTAATTCAGGAGCATCCAAAGGATAGACCAGAGATTTTTTTAGTTTTTGATTTACGAAACTGATGTATTCAACGCAATGACAATAATCAACTACGCTCCATTTCTGTGCCTTTTTATACGATTGATAATATTGATAATATTTTTGTACAACAAAAACAATTATTTAAACAAATTCGGCTCACAACATATCTGCCATCGATGAATGCCATCATAAAACAAAAAATATACACCCCGTAATAAATTATATTTATCGGCGTTTCTATCAAAAATGTATATATGCTTGTATATATTTTCTTTTTATTCTTCTTGTTATCTATCTACTAATAAATTTGATGATCAAAAATATTGATACCCCATTGACAAATACCGTTTCAGATTCGATATTTTTTTTTCTAATAAATAATGTAGAATAATTTATTCCCAATACAGCTAAAGAAATAAATGTCCACAAGTTTAGAGAGATTTTATCTTGTTTAAGTAAATGCAACGAATATGTGTACTGACACATTTATTGGGTTTGTTTACTAAGTGTTTTACACGTTGAACAAAACTTTCTATACAATTTTGCATACACCTATATCACTCAAAAAGGATGTCTAAAAGATCTTACTTAAGTCAGTATCAGAAAGTAAAAAAGTCGAAGTACAAATGTGTTTTTTTCATTGGAAAGCACAACATGTATGTAAATCAATTAAACTCGAATATCAAATATTTTATCTGATCTGGAGGACGATAGATCGAAACTAATAAACAAAGAAATTATACGTCAAACAGTGCTATATTTTCTCACAGCTATTCACTTATAAATTCTCTTTACATGTCTTCTATTTATTCTCACCTAAAAGTCTGTTATTTTCGTCATCATTAGACTTGTTAAAAATATCTCACATCATTTTAACTTTTTTGTAAAAGAACTATTTGTCCTTAAGCTCATTTTACTCTTTAATTTCACACCAATGTTTCGAAATAGTTTTCGAAAAATAATCAAATAGAAGTATTAAATTTATATATTGATGGAAGAATACGTTCTAACAGTTCAATTTTTTTCGCACCAAACTGATTATATATTTTTACACTACTGCATACCTAGATTATAAAAAAATAAAAAAAAATTTGATTTCGCGTCTTTTTATAAAGATATATGAATTCAAAAACCGAATTTTTGAACATTAAAATCCAGTTTTCGCCCATAAAAAACACTTTTCATCAAAAACTAACGTCATATTCATGGTCAGTGTCAAAAACTGCATTTAGTAATGTGTCATTCGAACTTTAATGAAAATTTTACTTTTGTCTAAAAAAAATGCCTTTCATTCTCTCATATGATTAGCGAGTAAAACAGCAGGTGCTATTTTTTAGGCAAAAGTAAAACTTTCATTAAAGTTCGAATGACACATCACTGAATGCAGTTTTTGACACTGAGCATGAATATGACGTTAGTTTTTGATGAAAACGTTTTTTTATGGGCGAAAACCGAGTTTTAATGTTCAAAAAATGAATTCTATATGAAAATAAAACTTCTGATTTGACTGACAACAGCAGTAACTTACAGATGTGTTTATGGTTACCATTTATTCATTTGTACAAATGAAGAAAATATATCTTTTTGCTTCTAGCAAGTCTTCATACGATCCTATGAATATAGTAAAATGCTTTTTTATTACTATCCGTTCCAAAAACCAAGAGCATCGGTTGCTTTTTGAATAACTCTTGATAGGTAATAGATAGAGAGGTGTGGTTTTCAGTTATAGAAACTAGAGATCTGAGCCCGTGTTTCTATAAGCGGAAGCGAGTTTCGGAAAAAATTTTCAAGTTAGTTTTTGAGAAGGTCTTTGGAAAACCAGATCAGATACGGGCTCAGATCTTTAGTTTCTAAAACTGAAAACCGCACCTCTCTATCTATTACCTATGAAAAGTTATTCAAGAAGCAACCGATGCTCTTGTATTTTGGAACGGATAGTAGTATTGTACACCATCCTTCTTTTTAAAAAAACATATCGATATTTTTTCACGTCAGTTTGAATTGTGGCTAGAAATTCAATGAGATTCGATTGCTCTGGAAAAAATGAAGTGTATAGTGTACTTGTATTGTAAAAAATGAAGTGCATACGTTGTCAAAATTTGCAAATCGTAATAGAAAAACAACAGAAAGTGCTTTTGGCACCGTTCGTAAAATGGATGGAGTTCGAAGGGGAAAGATTGTAGGGAGCTCAGAGAAGCCTCATTTTGTACAGCGTGTACTATAAAATTCATGGCTCAGTTAAAACTGAATCAATGGGTAGAAAAACATCGTGATACATATAACTTGTTATGCTCTAGAAAATGACCAATTTGAAAACCTAAAATCCATTTGTAAAGGCTTTTTTAGTTTCGGTCCCTAAAAGTGAGCACTCAGATGATTACTTACCTATTAGCCCCATTTCAAAAAAGCCTTCTCCGAATGAGTAAACATTTTCTTTTATGTACTAATCGATGCAAAATTATCAACTGTACAAAATAATGAAGTTGTGTTTTCTGGTCAAGCTATACTAGCGGCTTCTGAATCCAAAATACTAAAAAACGTATGGTCGAAAAATACTGATTTGTTTTTCAGTTTTTACCTTGTAGCCACCCACAGTGCTTGTTTTAATTTTACTTTCTCACAGTGATTTTGTAGAGTAAGCATCTCTTTTTCAGATGGAATGTAAACGGATCCTAATAACCACGCCATTTTCGACACATTCGGCAAATATCAACCGCATCGAAAATGGTGCTAGTGATTTCTGATGATGACCAAAAGATTAAGTCCATCTAATTCTCGAAAGGCAATACGACATATATATTTTGAATTCAGTTGATTGTTATGCTCTCTCGAACTAGATCAATAAGAACGAAGAAAAAAAGAATTTATGTCCGGTTGACACGTCGACAGTCTCGCGGATTATCTCTTAAGTTTTAGTTCTAGTAAGTACTCGAGTCAACTCTAGTGAAATGCCTTTGCCCGACAGGATTCGAGCATATCCTACCAGTATCTTGCTGGGTTTTCCGCTTTAATCTCTTAGGAACCTAACAAATTTTACAGAATCCTAATAAAATCGAGTATAGTCATAGGATTTTCTAAGATTCTGTTAGGATCCTAAACAAACTTTACCGAAATCCTGGTAGGATCCTAGCATTTTAGGCTCCTGCTAGGAAGTTATTAGGTGGATCCTAAATGTTAGGATTCTGTAAGATCCTAGTAGAAAATAGTCAGGATGCGTGTGTTCAGTGCGTAGGATTCTGTCTAGGGAATGATCGGCACTGACTATCTAGGCAAAAAATTTTACCTTATCTCGTATATATCAGAACGTTGTAATAAGTGACCAGGATGATCTTTTACGTATACAGTGTTGTAGAATACTAGTCATTTTTTCAAGCAGAATTATGCGTAATTAAGAAATTGATAAAGTACGTTGCTACTCAATTTGAACTAAAGTTTGAATTTAAAAATGAGAGGTGTTTTTTGATAATTTCTTTACCAAAACTCAGCCAAAAAAACGTCGCTGTGCAATCATATATGGTTTTCATACTGTTTTATGAGCATTTAATAGAAAAATAGAATAAAAGAATAAAGCAGTTAGTGTGCATCAATCTTGCAGCAGTTTAACAATAAGTTATTTTATGTTACAGACTTTTGAGTTAGCTTAACAATTCCTCGTGTGAATTATCATCACTGTCTTATTTTTTCACAGAACAAAAGACGCAGAGGCGGCGGAATGATTCTGAAACTATGCGTGCTCAAGGACAAGAACGCAAAGGAAAAATTAATTTCCGCTAGAAGAAAACGAAAATTTTCAAACTCTGTGAGTGCCGAGGCATCCACGGCCTCCATGGTTCCGTTACCTCTGGAAAGACGTAAAATGACTACTAAATATACGAGTGAAAAGTGCATTAAGTTAAAAAAAGAATTGGGAACGTAAAAGAGTTTAAATCCAATTACATTCGGAAGAATATTTTCTAATCTTCATAGAATACGCACGAGATCGCCAATTTCATAGAGACTAAGATAGAATTGCCATGGAAACGGACAACTATTGATATCAACTGGAATTTGATAAAGTTTATTAGTTCGTTTATTTGACAATTGAATTATCTTTTTATCACAGTTAAGCACTAATTCGAGAACATCATTTTCCATAATATCGCCGTCGTACCCACCATAACCTGCAGTACCTGCTCCTTTGAGCCATGCTTGCTTATTATTACCCGGCACCCATCCATAAGTTGATTTGGACGAAATAGACGATTCTTGCACGAGTGTTGATTCCGTCACTATACCAAAAAGAGAATAGCCATGATGCATTTTTTCGAGTTTGAGTTGAAGACGATGTTTTCCTGTAGAATACAAATTAGTACCACGAACTTCTGTCGCACAATTTGCTGAGCCTACATGAACTGCTACTTTTTTTTCGTCTTGAAGCTCAATCGGCCCATAGATTTTTTCTGCATTGAATTTATCGGCCTGTTTACGTGATGTTGGAAGATCTGTAGTAAATTCATCAATACGTGTTACTGTGCGTTTACCGAGTGATGGTGAAGGTGACGGTAACAGCACACGAGGCGATTGATAAAGAAATTGTTGTTGACCTGATGATTTTGTATTGACTTTTATCATAGTAATCCAGGATGGACTCTTCTTTGTTTCGAGGATAATACTCGACGGCATTTGTAATTCTTCTTTGAGCTTTTGTACATCATGTTTCCATCTATCTAAATCTGTTTCAACAAAGTCTTCGCTCTTTTTACCTTTTCGTAATTCATCGATTAATCGACGTAAATCTTTAGTTAACTGCTCTTTATGTTCGTCAAGTAATTGACGAATACTTTGTCGAGCTTCTTCGCCAGCTTGTTTTATTTTATTTATTGATTCTGTTTGCCATTTGTTAATTTGATTAAAAAGTGTATGATATGAATTTTGATCTTTTGCTTGAAGTTGTTGTTGAATTAGATCGTGTTCATAGACAACATGATCAAGTTGAGTAACCAATTCTAGACGATGATCATTTGTACATTTTCGACAAAGTATATACTGACATCCACTACATATGAGAATACCGTTGTTTTTCTGACATTTGACACAGAGTGATTTCAACGACATAATATTTATTATCAAAAATCACATAAAATCTAACTAGAAGGGGATGAACATTGAGTTAGTAGTGAAAAAGGTTATCTAATACTATTAACGACAAAAAATTTAAATTGGCTAACTTACATTGTAATTTAAATATACCGATAGAATAAATGTTGTTTTGAAAATAAAGAAAATATAGTCAATCAGAGTAAAGACTTTCAATAAAAACAGAACAGAAAGAGCTTAGCGGAAAAAAATACAACATTGGATTAGTTTCAATCCTGAAAATGGTATTATGTCAAAAACAAAAACATTCTATATATATTAAGCCAAATAGTAAGATATACTGTTTAAAACAGAAATTATTTCTTGCATAGACTAAAGAAATAAATCAGTTTAATTTATTCTGCTTCGATTCAGGACTGGGCTGTCCACTCCGTAGCAACCGCCGCAATTTTGAGTACAGCTTCATGGCAACCACCACAGGTAAAGAGTATATTTGAGTCAAACTAGTCCAAATACACTGGTCAACTCCGGCTCAAATTCGTCTACTTTTTCAACTCCGATGTCTGAATTACCCAGCTCTGACTCGATCTGTCTCTTGTCAGTGACTACGTCCGTGCTTCGCTGATAGCAACACTACACACAATAAATTTGAAGCTTGTGGAAAACTCAAACAATTGAGAATAACGATATTCCGTTTAACAATTGTTTTTTCATTCAGGAGCGAATCAAAACTCTGAAACTACTTTTTGAGGTATTTTTCAAAAAGCAAATTCTACCAACCTACTGATTTTTTCAACATAATAGTAATTCTCCATGTTGATTTTATGTTCTTACGAAAGCTGAAGACGATGATTGTGTTACACATAATTTGTAGAGACGAACGTCTTCTCGTTTCTTTTTTCGGATGATACGATCGATGACCACCCAGGCAAAAGAAAAATTCGATAAGCTAGCTCAACCTAGGTAAAGCGGTACATTTAGCTAGCTTCAGCTAGGTAGCAGCTAGCTTGAGCTAGCAAAATGTACCGCTTTACCTAGGTTGAGCTAGCTTATCGATTTTTCCTTTTGCTTGGGCACTGTTTGTACAATATATTAAGTATAACATGAGTAAACGGTGCTATTTTGTCTACCAAACCCCCTAAAAACCAAGTTTCACTGGAATAAGCGATTATCGAAAATTTTATGGCTTGAAAATTTTAGAAATAGAGTCAATTTGGGCTGCTCTACAACTTTGTTTATCTAAACAATTATCAAAGTTCTAATAAAAACTGTTAGTTATATCATGTTGTAATAAAATGATAATGTAAAAAAAAAAGAAGATTTTCTTAGGGTTTTTGACAGCAAAATCATGCTAGGGATCGAATATTTACTTTATTTCTAAAATTTTCAAGCGATTACTGTCTATTTTTAGTGAATTATAAATTTTTTATTGATGATGTGTAAAAATTTTCGATAACTGCTTATTTCGGCGAAATCTGGCTTTTTATCAGGATGTTTTCCTAGAGAAAACATTACTATGAGGTACAGGATGTCGATTAAATATGTGATCGCATTTTTTAAGTGGCTGATTCGCATTTGCACACTTAGAACTTTTACACATCTACGGGCACACTTTATTTTTTACAGTGTGCGCCATATAAACTGCTAAAAACATTCAAGGCACCACCCAACTCGTATTTTTAAGAGCACCATTGGGATTATCAATTCATGAAAACCACTACAATGTTATTCGTTCATTTTTGAAAAGTCGAACTGGCTTTCAGAGCCATTTCAGAACATACTTGACCAAAAGATTTTGATTGGAGCTTTCTATTAGCTTCAGATTTCCTCTTTTGAACACGGAAAAGCGCAAGTCTACCTCTTTTTATATAAAATATTATTCATAAACATCTACTATTTATTGTGAAAAGCATATAGTAAGTCGAATCTCTATTTTTCATGGTAGTAAAAATTAGAAACAAAGCACTTTAGATCTCTGAACTATATCACATGTGAAATTTACCAAAAAATTTGATTCGAAAACAATCAATATCCTTCTTAACTGCTCGAATGTCAAAACCCTCGAAATTCAATTTTTCAAGCTTCTCTCACAGATGTACAGAATGTTGAAGAAAAAAAATCTGATCTCTTAATATTTGTCAAAAATTTTATCTGGCTAGTAGAAAATGTTAGAGAAAATAAAGGAAAGTTTGATCAATATTTTCAGTGAATACGTCAACCCAATATACGATTTTTCAGTGGAATGGAATTTTAGGATATAGGCTTCATTCATTCAAGTTATTTATTCTTAAAAGCATTGTAATTTCTGACCGAGCTGCAAACTTTCTAAAACGGAAATCAATAACCTAAATTTTCATATTATCAACCAAATCGAAAAATTTTATTATCTTCTTCGGTCAACACCGATTGTAGATTCGTCTTCTCTATAGTTGATTATTTTGTACGCGATAACTTTCGTATCGAGGTACTTCAGAAAAATTTGCTAATAGTCTTGCTCAAAAATTTTCAAAAAAGTCACTACATGGGACCAGAGGCAAAGCGATGTTGAAAAATTTTCTGAAGCACTCCAATTCAAAAGTTATCGCGTACAAGATAATGAACTATGGAGAAGACGAATCTGTAATCAGTTTTGACCGAGGAAGCTTTTAAAACTTTTCGATTGGTGATATGTTAATTAGAATTTAAACTTAATTAATTAATAACTCGGTTAATACTTGACCAAATTTTATTTTATTACACAGACCTACCATTGAACGTGTCCTCCACAAACTAGCAAAGTTCGAGTATATCTTTTAGGGAGAGGGCACCTTCCTTAAATCTTACTTAGACAAAAGAAATTTTGTATCATCACGTACCAGCAAGTCCTCTGTTTTTCAGTCCCAGTTCAGTCTCAGTTCGGAGTGGGACTTGCCCACTCTATCATGTACCGAGTGTATTTCAATAGAAAAAATGCGCTAGAGAATTCTCTTGAGCAAACTATTTCTGTACTTCTTTTCGACATGTTGCTAACAAATGCTAATCTTAAATATCATCTCGTTGATAATTTAACTTTTGCGTAAGAATATCAAACACGTACTTTATTCTTGTGTAAGACATGAAAACTACAATTAATATTTCTTTACATCTATTTGTGATCGTACATTTTTCTGAATTATTCTATCTTTTTGTTGTAATCCGGATATTTTGTTATGAAATTTAATTACATAAATTAAAGGCATCTTATTTTCCTCCATTTTGTTCAAATTTTGCCATTGTTGGAAAGATATAATTTGCGCATAGAAGATTCTAACAACAAAACTAATGGTGATAAGTAAACTTTTTCGAGCAATGTATGGCACATGACAGTCACTTTTGCGTGCTGGTGACACAAATGATCTTTAAGTCAAGAATAGTCAGTTATCTGTTTATAATCAATAGTTTTCAGATTTCATCTTCAAGCTCGAGACAGTACGTCTTATCAATGCATCATAAAAGATTTCTTGATGTTGTTCACAAACTAAAATGCACTTTAGGAACGCTTTCTTTAAGCACAAGGTTAAATGTCTCTTATCAAGGGTTTTTATAATATTTTAATAAATATATATAGAAAGCATATGTCAGTATGTCAATGAATATTTCAATAAAAAATTAAGACACAACTGGAAATGAAATATGCAAAAGGTACTTCGTTTACTCGATTCTGATATAACCGATGTTTTGTTGTGATATTTTCGTGTTAGGTTAAACATTTGTTTGAAATGTCTCGTTTGATTTGTAAATCGCTGCACAAATTGTCCACTATTAATATCCTGAATCAATCGAACAGAAGCTGCTATAAAAAGACTGAAAATAACCAGTTTGTATATCATCGATATTGATGGGAGAGCTTTAATAAATTTTGCATTGATAATTTTGTTTCGAAATCGAATTATGTGATTAATCGATTTTTGGCTAAAAGTACGTTTCAGTTCTTCGAGTACTTTCGATTTCTCTTTCTCATCCTGATTTTGAATTTTATTTATTTCCATTTTTTATTAAATAAATCATGTTTCAATAACATATATACATATGGTACATTGAATGGAAATGCGAAAACAACATACAAGGGAAATATTAGTTTATTGATAATCAATAACAAACAAAAATATTGGTTAAATACACATATTCAATAGAATGGCGCTATCACAAAAGTATTCGAAAATTGTTTAATTTAAACCTGATACGTTGGTTCATTTGCATTTAATTATTAATATAATTGTATAATTCATCGAGAATGCCTCGAAATGATCGGGATAAAGGAGAAGTAGCGGTAAGATCATTTTTCATGTCACATGTTTTTGGCGAAAAAAATTCACTTGGTCGTAATCAGCATCGAATTCTGAACACAATAGCCGATTCAGTTTTTCCAAAAACAAAGTTTCATTTTTTTCAAAAAATTTTTTGTAACATCAAAATTTTTGGTATCTCAAATCTCAACGAAAGGTACATCATTCAACGCAGAATTTCGCGCTGATTACGAATATCGGCTTGATTTAACGTTAAAACCTTATTAGCATTTACCAAATCCCTTTTTTTAACTGAGGATATTTTCAACCATCATTAACTTTTCAGGCGCCTCACTAACGCGTTTCAAAAATCTGAAACACACTCAGTCCTGTTCAGAATTGATTTTTCTATCTAAAATATGTCAACATAGAAAATTAAAGTACGGTTCTGTATTTTTCTAGGTCAAAAACTGAAAAAACAGCGAAAAATACCGTTTTTTGGGTACTTCGATCTAATATTACGGGAAAACAAAGTCTTGACCTCATGAGTGAAATACGTGGCTCGAGTCAGTTTTTACGCTCTTTCCGAATGTGATCTCAAAATCGGAAAAAAGGTTGTTGAACATGGTTGTTTTTCAATGATTTTTGAAACTTGTAGGATTTCTAAAAACCGGATTTTCCAGAGATCTAGATGTGTTGGCCCTGAGGTCTGGTATAAGTTTTCTTTATCCAGGTATGTGGACTTAAACGTGCTCTTTCGTTTGAGGCTTGAACCAAGGTCGTGCGACATGAAAAATGACCTTACCGCCACTCCTCCTTTGCTGGAATTAGACAACTAGTCACATTCAATGAACAGAGCTGACAGACCAGAAGCAATCAATCTCATTTGCCAAAGAATGCGATAGAAAATAAATTCTTAGCTATATTTAAACATTTACGACAAAACGATCTATATTCATTTATATCGGTTTTTCGTGTTTATGACATACCATAAATAGTTAATATTCTTTTTAACCAGACTATCTGTGGCTTTTCTCAGCTAAATGCTGACTTCTATCGAAAACAATTATCGAATACAAATCTATGTACATGTGAATTAATCGAGACGAGAAACCACTTTCTACTTCATCGTTCTGTTCATAATCTACAGTCTGAAAAATTATATACAAATTTAAAAAGATGTATTGCCTAGTGATCTTTTGTCGTTTGATTGTCTGATATTGAGTAAAGAGGCTTTTCAGACGTTTGTAAGAAATAACACCACTTGCATTCTAGACAAGCAAAGTTTTTCAACATAGTTGTGCTTATTGTTTACTCCTTGTTTGTGTATGCGTGCCTTTTCTTTTATTGTCAACAAGGCATCTTTTCTAGTACAAAATTTACTTGAATCTTGCTTCTTAAAAAAACGACGAAGAACTTAAAAAATCTTGTTAAGATCTTTCTATGAATTCGCGAACATTAGTTTAAGTTCTATGACAAATCTTACTAAGATCATGAAACTCAAAAATTTCAAAAAAATGATAATATTTTGCTAAGATCTTAAGAGGATATCGGCGGCTTTATCCAAGATTCTTTTAAGATTGGACAAGAATCTGCTATAATCCTACAAAGAATTATCACAATTTCTCAATTAAATTCATTCACAATTCACTAAACAATTTTTAGATATCTTGTATAAGTGCTGCTGGATTTCGAGAGAGCTAGTTCCAACAAAGTCCGGTCAGCTCAGTTAGTGAAGGAGAATTCTCGATGTTCCACCTCGAATTACAGACGACTTGAAATTTTTCGGCGGTGTAGAGACTTGTGGTGATTCGATGATAGCCAAGTTCCTTGTGAACATGTTGTTCGATAGTTCGAAACTTATCAGAACTGACTGGTGTCTAGGAAATAGTAATTGTTTCTTGCAAAACATGTTCCTTCTAACGAGGGAACCGCAACCGCCCAAGTGTTCCCGAGCTTTTTCGTTGAAACACACATAGGCATAGGTTATCTCTGCTGCTGATTTCAAATATCATAGTCGCAGTGGCATACGGACCCTTGGAGACCCGGTTTTCTAGAAAACCAGTTTTTCAGAAACTCTAAAAAAATAACCAAAACCTTTCTAATTGAGGCATAATTGTAGCCCGCACATTTCTGATTAAAATGAGACATCTCCCAGCTCTACATGACCTTTCTTTGCAAAGTTATACAATTAACAAAAAAAGCCCTAAATTAATTTCTTATTTCTGTAGCTTTGAGCTGACAAACATTTAGGGCGTTTCTTGTAAATTGTATAACTTTGCAAAGAAAGGTCATGTAGAGCTGGGAGATATCTCGTTTTAATCAGAAATGCGCGGGCTACAATTATGCCTCAATCAGAAAGGTTTTGATTATTTTTTAGAGTTTCTGAAAAACTGGTTTTCTAAAAAACTGGGTCTGCAAGGATCCGTATGCCACTGCGACTATGATATTTGAAATCAGCAGCAGAGATAACCTATGCCTATGTGTGTTTCAACGAAAAAGCTCGGGAACACTTGGGGCGGTTCCCTCGTGAGATTTGCGCGCTTCCCTTTTCTGATGTAAATAGAAAGTATGAATCAATTCTGGCGTATAAAAATATAAAATATAATCAAAACATATCAAACCAATCAGCTCGGAATTACAAAAAAGTGTCATTAACAAGAAGTGGGAAAAAAAGAAAATATTAGAAATGCACAAAAATGGACGTATTCAATAGTCATTAAGGTTAACCCAACTGTCACATATGAAAATATTGCTTCAAAATTTACTCTGGGAGGAAATATTGAAGTATATCTACGCGCGATGATAGGTACTTGTGAAGGTACAAAGTACATAGTTTCGTAACTATATAAAATTTGATAAACAAACACTGAGAAGAAAGCCGTATGTCTCGATCGAAATGGAACTCGAGTGACATTAGTTTGATAGACCAATACTCTGTTCTCTGAGCTACGTAGTACAGCCTAATCCCAATAGCAGTACATAACAGATATTCAAAAGTTCTCATTAGAAGTTGGCGGTCGTTAACTACTCGTTAAAAGCGCTACTGTTTATAATACCTTGATAGTTAAAACCATTTATTGGAAGAAAAAAATGTAGTTAGACTGTATTTGGAAGCTCAGGAACTAGAGCTTCGGTCTAACAAACTAATCATAATATTTGCCACAAATAGCCTGCATACAATATTACCGTAGACTAAAATTGTGCGAGTATTAGAGACGAATTGGAAAGATGACAACGACTACTCGCCAACGATTAAATGTTATCTCGGCAAAAATATCTAGAAACTACTAGCCGATAAAACTGCAAGAAAAATAAATCGACTTCTATGTAAAAAAAAAACTACGCAAATAATCAACGTAGTTAACACAGTTTTTCGCTCATAATTTCTTTTCCACTTCTTGTATTTCGTCTTGAACTTTGTCTTCAACCTGTTTTAGTTTATCTGTTTTACTATCCACTTCTTCATCGGGCTTTTCCTGTGTTTTATCAACAACCTCATCAATATCTTCGCCAATTTTTTCTGTTGGTCCTTTCATATATCTGTTACGTAATAATAATGCAGAGACAATGATAATCAAAATTATTAGCACATAAACTCTTGTACTAAGGAATCTTTTATTCGAATTGTACATTATCAATATTTGTGCAATAAAACAAAAGTATGTCTAAAATATAGAGACACATCTTCATGCAGCACTCTGTTGATGATTTATTTGGTAAGAAAGGAAAAACGGTGAACATTTTACTTCTTTTATTTACAACGCTTTCTTTTTTCTTTAATTGATTTTTGAACTCTATTACAACGACTTTTTACCATTTTTACTACACTACTCCGCACTGGCAACCCTTTATAGGATATGATATCGAACTCTATTGACCAATATTCGTGGAAAAACTATTAAAACTTAAATAATACGTCATTTATTCTTTTCTTTTCTTTACAATTCTATAGGTACACTGATTATCAGCGACCCTAAATGAATGTAAATACTGAAAAGTATTTATCATTAGTATTTTTAACGATTGCTTGATCAAGTGAGAGCAAAAATAGGCTTTCCCTTCGAAAATTTGATTTCCACTCTGTATTTAACATAGAAAACGTAAGAAATGTGGCGGTAAACTATAGAAACCCGCTTCGTTTAAAATCGTCATTAAAAACAGTGTTTACGATCAACCTACACTAATAAAAAGGCAATTTTATCATGCTAGCTTACTCTCTTCATAAACAATTGATGAATGTGTCTGCTTAAAAATGAACTTCTATTTTAAACTCACTATTGCTTCATCATGAAGCCCATGTATACATAGAGACACTAATAACAAGAAACTACGTGATTCTATAGCTAAATTATGTGTTTATTTATCAACTAAAGTATGTTTATTTAGCAATTTTACTGTTATTTTAACTATTTAGTGGTCCCAAAGATGACCCAATGAAAATTTGTACTTAAGTCTTCATTGATTATGCATCTTAGTAAATTCATCGTGGTAGATAATAATTGCCAAAAGTTTTCCGATAAAGCTACATAATGAAACTGACAGCTTGCTATGTTTCGGAATGTCTCGAACGCTAGATGTCAGTGTCATATATAACAGTAGCGCGGCTTCATGTAGAGTTCGGTGGAAACTGTATGTTGGAGTTTCCAATTAATGTTCAACCACAGGTAGTGTATTTTCAACTTGTTTATCTGCACATTTACTCCTCTATATCAAACTCTGAAATTGTTTCTTCTTCTTATTCTTTCTTTTTCTTTTACTAGGTCACGTGCGCTGCTTCTCTTATATATTGTATATAATAATTAGGTTGTACTATACATATACAGTCTTCACACATATTTCAACAAACTTGAAACCGAAAGTCTAGTATACGCATGTAAGTAAAAGTGTGCTTTTTTCCAAAGATTTTGAGTTAGTTTTTGTATAATACACGAATGACTTCAATTTATGAAAAATAATTTAGTAACGGAAACTAGTTTGTGCATAGTTAGAAGTCAATGCTGTTGTACATATAATTTAAGATTACGGAGGTGGAAAAGAGTGATATTTAGCAAATAGAGCCAAATTTACAACAGTTTCCATCAGCAGTTCTTTTGAATCAGGCGATCTTCAAAACATCACTAACTACCAAATTTCACATATTTTTTAATTTAATGATCAAAAAGGATGTTTATTTTCCAACGAGAGAACTCTTCGCGCAAGTTAGAGAATTAATGTAGTTTTAATTTTATTTTTTATACTAACTAATTAATTGGTAGTAATATACTAAATTATCACATTTTTATGGTTTTTTTAACCATGCAGGATTGTTCCTCATGAGAAGTGCGAGCTGTTGATGAATATTTTCTTCATAGCACGTTATTACTTCACGTATTTCAACCTATTGCTCAATCAAAAAAAAATGTATCGTTCCCCGATATCCAGGATTAATTAATTAGGACCCGAAAGAGTTTTCCTTACTTATCTGCAATTTTCAAGTGCCGGACCTATTACGATACATGAGAACTATCAACCGTTTTTTAAATGAGAGAGATAGAATACAACTATGGTAATCAACTATTTTCGCTCGTTTCTTACGTTTTAACTTTTTATTTACTTAATAGATCAATTCAGTACTACAGTTTTCTACCAGTCATGTCAGCATACTCTGCGATATCCTCAAAACGGCCGTTGAATGCTTATTTTTTATTTCAACAAGACAATCGAGATCGTATTCGAGATGAAAATCCTTCTGTACATATCCAATCAGAACTGGCAAAAATAACTGGTGAAGAATGGCGCAATGCACCAGCTCGCGTGAAAGAAAGATATCAACAACGAGCTGAACAAGATATGGACATTTATAAGAGAGAAAAATCGCCTAATCCGAGTGGAAAGAAAGCAACATATGATCGAGACGATAAGAAACCAAGCGGCTATAAATCGAGAAAAACATTAACGACACCAAAAAAACAAAACTATTCTGATGGTGACGAGGATGAAGAAGAAGAAGAACTTAGTAAGTAAAAAGAAACTATTCTGATATGGGAGCATGGGCTTTTTATCTTGAGAAACTGTTTATTTGCTTCATTTCATGTTTAGATCAAAGTCAAAGTGAATTAGTCGAAGCAGTGAAACAGCGTATAAAACAAAATATCGATGATCTATGTGCTGATCTAGATAAACTGGGTGTTGTTGGTACTAAACTTAGAAAATCAATGCCTAATGAGAAACATGAAGACTATTATGAAACAAAGTCAAAATCTTAGAAACAGTGACGTAATGACTACTCTAGACAACTTTGTTTTGTTGTTCTTTTTTCTAGCTTTTATTTTGTAGCTTTTTTCATAAAAGTGTGTATGGTTCTAGAGGATTGTCCCCTCTCATTTTCAAGATTATTTTTAGATTTTTCTGACGTTTTTGTTATTAACCAGTTTTCATATGTTTATTAAAAGGCATCTAGTCAAGAGCAGATGTAGCAAATATTCATCTTGCAATTATACGCAAACGAAATAACGAGTCACTGTAATAAAGTGCCTTTCATTCAAATTTGTACTTGATTTTCGAAAAACCATCTTGCACAATATAAGCGTTCGTATACAACTCTTTAGTTTTGTCTCTGGAACTTGTGTTGGATTAATTTATTGTTTTTGCTGTTGATATCGAGGCTGCATTTTGCAACGTTTTCTGCAGCATCTTTTGAACTATCCGACTAGATTTCCCAGACCGCAGTGCTGCTCTGCATTGTACCTTACTCATTCTCGTTTCCATTGTTAAGATATTTCGTAGTTGACGAAGTCTTACATCAGCTTTGATAATAATAATTTCTTCTGTTATCGAAAATTCTTGTATAAATTTTGTTAATAGTTGTAATTAAATTTTTTTAGTAGAATATTTTTCTACTATGTCATATAAGTGCGAAGCCAAAACTTATGGCAGGTTCTTCTAAAAAAGTGGAGATATAGGTGACCAACATCCATTTTTTTATTCGAAACTAATTAGATCTGGCTGGTAGATGTCGTTTGGGAATTAAGAAAAACATGCCAATGTACGTACAAGAGAGCTAATTATGTACAATTTCCAATGGATAAAAATGTCGACCACTATAATGAGATGTTTTATCTTCTGTCCCATTTAGGACATAACGCGCGAGTTTCAATTGTGTTTAAGAATGTCATCAACGTACTTGACTCGATCAATGATAAATACATGAAAAATCTTCATGAGATCCTCGCATACCGTTATCATTTTTATTGTTTGTGAGCAGTTGTAAGGTAGCGATGTGTTGTTTTATAGCCTTAGGGAAAGATCGATTAGTAGTTTTGCAGTTTGCCTTTTTAATACAGTTTTTCTTTGCCTGAAGGACTTTTAGATCGAAGATGATTGAATCTTATCGATTTGATGTGGTTTTTATTGGCGATTATAGTGTAGGGAAAACAGCTTTGTTCACGCGATATATTGATGGTGCGTTTAATACTGCAGAATACTACTTCAATTGTAAACAAGCAACAAATAGGCGCACACTGATCAACGAGAACAATATAGAATTTAATATTTGGGATGTAAACAAAACAGAAGATGAACATGAAAAATCAGAACAAAGTAAATTACGATTACGATGTTTTGATGGTATCATACTCGTATTTGATATCACAAATGAAGTGTCATTTGAAATTATTCAACAATGGCTTACTCAAGTTTGTGAACATCATTCTCTACCAGTTAACATATTGGTTGGAAATAAATTGGATTTACTTGAAGAGAAAGTAGTCGATTTAAGTCGAGCAAAAGCATATGCTGATAAATTAAATATGCCATTTGTTGGTAAGCGAAGTATGTGTGATTTTCAATCAACCATCGTGTATGTATCTTTGTATAACGTTCAGGTACAAGTGCTAAAAGTGGTCAAAATGTTGAACAAGTGTTTAAAATTCTTGCTGAACAAATGAAACGCAAACGTGAGCAAGAATATTGCTTGAAAAAACAACAGCGACAGAGACGACAACAGCAACAAAACAGACAGCCTTGGTCACTAAAGAAAACTCCTCAGTTGGGAACATCATGTCTCCAAATAGCAAATATATGTAATCATAAAGCTGATACAAATTCTCATCAGCATCAAAAATCAAAATGTAAAAAACAAGAACCATTTTTATGCTATTTTTGTGCTGAACAATGAAATTTAAGTGTGGACTACTAGTTTTTCCATTTTAAACGAAACTAATTAATATTCTTTTAGGTTTTTAGTGAGTTTATTGAACACATACCACACAGATTATTTACCCAAATGGTCTCACTTGTAAACTCTCTTTTCTTGTTAGAAAGGTTGATTCAATTGAGTTCAGTTTTGATTCTCTTCCTTTAAAATTAATAAAAAATTTAGTTAATTTAAATAATAAAGGAAGAGAATCAAAAATGAACTCAATTGTGTACTCTCTATATGAAGAATATCTTGCAAATTATAAGGCCTTGTATTCGACCGCTTAATAAATCATCAGCAACCATGCTAATGACTAAACTAGAATACACGAAAGAAAATATTTGAGATTTAAAAATACTTTTTGGCAAACTCGATCCAACAGCATTTGTGGGAGGTACGCCTTTTATCTGTGAACATTCTAGAAAATATATCTTCTCTCCATACCGTCTCTCCTGTAATGTGATTATTAAAAAAAAATTTTCCATTTATTTAATAATAATCAAAAGATGTTCAAAATACAAGTAATCAAAAATAACATTTTTGTGATAGTCTGTATCTGAGTCTATAGATAACTATTGATATCTCTGGCCACAAAAGTCAGAGATATGTTGTAAATATTAAGCAACGTTTGTTTTCTAAACTGATCATTAATTGACGAATGCTGATAACCTTATCTTAATAAGTTTTAATTTAGTATATCTGCCATTAATGGTTCGAATCAACTAATAAAATGTTCATTTTTATCGTTTACATGTATCATATTGACTACTGAAAATAAAGAAAAATATAAGTCGTTGCAATAAAATTTTGTACTTGATTATACAATTTAAACAAAAAAATTAAATCGGAATGGTTTATCGATCATCAGTAATTAGACGTTAAGGTGAACACGCAAGATGCTTGGAATGTACGTTAAAATAGAAAAAAATCTTCTAATGGAAGCTAAAATGATTTCTAAATCTATCGTATAAATGATCAATGCTGCATAAGAATCTTTGTTTTGTCGATTTTTTCATACTAATCTTTTACCTAACAGGGTACCAATAACAGTTGGATGGTACCTCATCTGGCAATAGTTGATGAAAATAAACTATAGTTTAAAGTAAATAGAGAAGCTTGTACTGTAAAATAATAGATGTTTTGAGTCACAATAGGAAATATCTTATCGTGTCTTCGTGCCACAATGTGTCCTGTTACTTGGGACTTTATCTTTTTTCTGCAATAGATTGCATGAAAAGTATGCATATTAAAATTTTTCTAACAACTGAATATTGTAGAGCAAGCATTTTTCTAGAAGGTGAGCTATGACGGAAGCCATCATGTTTTCTATTTCTGACGCAATCGCCTTTAGACGAAGAGCCCTAAATTGGTTATAACCGACCATGGGGCTATTAAGAAATCTTTTTTAGTGGCGGCGCCAGAGTTTTTCGGGTGCCTGGGCTTAGCCTATAATTTTTCAAAAATCCGTTCAGAATTTTTACGTGGCTATTGCTAGTGAGTACTCTGTTTTCAAATTTTTGGGTGGTTGGGCTCAGCCTACCCTAGTCCTGCCCTAGCGCCGCCACTAATCGTTTTTGGCTCACCTTGTAGAAAAATGTTCGTTTACAAAACTCAATTATTACAAAAATTTTAGACTAACAATTTTCGTTGAGAAAAACTTTTTGAAAAAAAAGTGCATAATTTTAATCGGTTATAACCAGTACATGCCTACTTTAGATAATGTATCATATTCAGTCGCGTGTCTGAAGTCTCCACGAGTCTTTTCAACTCAGTGTAACTGTGAGTCTATATATGCCTTAATGTCTGATGGAACTAACGTCTCAATATACATTATAAGCGAATTCATTCACCCTTTTGTTGTAGTTACACTAACGAGGGAACATTCCCAAATGAGGCACTCCGATTTTGTTCAAACCTGGCAATTTATATGTAATCAAGGGCGCTGATTACGAATATGATAGCCGTTTGGGCCCATAGACCTTTTCTAGCGTTTCTGTGGAGAACCGGTTTTCCAGAGAAACGCCAGTAAAGGTCTATGGGCACAAATGGCTACCATATTCGTAATCAGCGCCCTTGATTACATATAAATTGCCAGGTTTGAACAAAATCGGAGTGCCTGATTTGGGAATGTTCCCTCGTAAGCTATAATGCGGACATCAGTTCCGTTGCAATAGCTTAACCTTCTTTTCCGTATCTATCTTCTTTGTACTATAATTGCTCTCTGGAAAAAAAAGGATATCTTGTAGAACCTTTTAAGGGTTCGGGAACTGGATTCCATTTCTGAACCTTTTTGAGGTACGCAGAACAAAAGGCTTCATGCGGAACTATTTTAATGTATTAATATAGCTGATCTATGCACTCTCTAAATCAATGGGTTTTCTCCAAATGATTCTCAAAGGAGAAATCAAAAGTTAAAGAAATTTTCAACTGCACGGAACTTTTTCCTCTGCTGAACCTTTCAATGTTTTAGAGATGGAATCCAATTCTCGAATCCTCTGCATGGTACTTTTCTTTTAGAAGTATGAGAAAGTGAAAACAACCTGAACACTTTTATATTCAACCTATAGATTAGAAATATCACTTTATATTGGTATTTGAAAAATGCGTCTTTAGATATTCCACAAAAACGCATCCCTCACCGATCTATCTTATATCTCAAAGAAAAGTCTTATCCTAGTGAAATTTTTTCTCATTATGCACTTAAGTTTTTTCAGATATGCGCATACTTCAAATATTTTGTATCGCTAAGAACCGCACGCATAGGTAGACAAATCTTGAAATCTGTGTATCTAATGTGCATGAAAAATAAAAGTTCAAGTTCAAGAAAAAATACTTCATTAGTGTTAGCGTGTCAAAGATTGTGTCTCAATGTCGTACTGTGCCTTACAGAATGCATTCACCACTATCTCAATATAATATGGATGAATCGATAAGTTTGATTAAATACTGAGTGATTATGAAAATTTTCTTACACATAATAAAATTATCAAAAAAATGAATTGAAGCGAAATCGTTCGAATAAACCAGGCAAGAATACACGCGAAAACAAGTTTATTTATGAGTATGCATTATATAATAGAAGAATGCACAAAACAAAAAGTGTTTGTAGTAAAATCCACCATTAACCGATAGAGTCCCTATGTCCACTATAGTGGACATAGCCTTGAAGTTATATTTTAAACAAATATTGAGTGGAAGAGGCACTTATTATATGTATTCTTGTAGCTCATAAAGAGCTCTATCTACTA